TCATCTGTTGCTCTCTACCCCATTCAGAATCCGTAGGGAAATCGTCGAGAGCTTAATGACTTTCTGAGAAACGAGTAGAGAGGGTAGGGAATTTGCAAAGCGTAGAGACTTAGAATTTACGAGCTAATGCTGTTCACTGGAGTGGACGGTAACACATTCACCTGTAAATTCATAATAACGCTCTGGGAACGTAGGACAAGTTGGAGTATCGTATCATTATATATTTATTAACACGAAACATACAGTATTTTCTTACCTGCTTCAAATTCCATGAATGAGTTTTCTTGGATATTTTTGCTTGTGTGCCGATCTTTCCCTTCTACGCGACGTCATGCTGGAAGTCAAGTGTCGTATCTGCCTTTTTTTTTCTCCAGTTAGCTCTTACAACAGGGCTTTGATATCAAAAGCCTCTAATGGATACGTGTCCATTGAAGTGGACAACACGCACTAGAATGGGAAAAGTGAAGCCACCTCCAAAACTATATATATTTAACGTCGTGTCCACTACAGTTGACCCTATGCATTAAAGGGTTAAGGGCTAAACGAGGTGCATGGTGAAGATGCAAGGCAGGTTGGGTGAATTTCATGAATGCTCCCCTTTATCCATTCCTGAGAGTGAGGTTCTTCATATCGATTTCCTATCACCATTAAATATACCATTCCCCACATCTCTATTAATTTCCTTGAATGGGCATGCAAGAAGTGTTATAGAGGCCCTAATGTTTGCGGAAAGAAGATCAATTCCTCGATTAATTGGTGGTCTCCTCTGTTCTCGTTATCAACATTAAATTATGAAATGGGATGCTCATACTAAAATTTCTACGCAGTCTGTGCAGCAGAAAATAAATGCGCGCGACTTCTGCAGCATTTCGAAAAACTTAAAAATCACATCCTTTAGCCCTTTTAAAATGAGAAAATCTACTCACGGGTGCATGGGTGTTCTTTCACCATCAATCAGAGACATGTGAAAAGTTGTTGACATATGATCCGAATCCGTATGGGCGAGAGATTGATGGACAGAGGGGATTAATAAAATGGCAAGAGTACGCGAATAAAACAACTTCTGAGGTTACTTTTTTTCTTTTTCACGGAAATTTTCCACTCCTCGTCGGAGCTAATTTAATTATGCATGGCCAAGTGTTGCATTGCAACCCCAAAAAGGGGAAGTGAAGGAATGTCATCGAGAAAGAAACACGTGATTCTCGTCGCATATAGCGTCACAGAGGCGCAGGACCACAACGTCAGCGCACATCCCCATATCGGGTCACGCCCTCTGAGAATGCATTGGCCTCAAATCTGTGAAGATTGCCTGAGCTACCCGCCGGGACTTTGATACCCCATGATTCTTTGAGAATTCTTTTGGCAGGTACTGCTTTATGCCTAAGCAAGCCTTGAAGGGAATATCCACAGACCGACACTCCTCGGGATTTGACAAAAATGATTCTTGAAGTTGGTCCTGGAACGGTTAGATTTCGCACAATTTGGCATTGCGATCCAAAAAAAAAGTTGTCCGTGAAGTGCAGATGCCTGAGTTTCAATTCAAAAATGTTCGATTAGATTCATACGGAGGCCCTCATTACGGGACCAGTAAATCCGGATAAGTGGGAATCTTGTGAAAGACATGATTAGGTTCATCCCTCGAAACATTTTCAGTTCCGAGACCGTCAAGTTGACGTTTTCTTTGCCGTTCAGGACGGCATAGAGGTTAATTTTGTTTCAGCTAAGATTTTGTTAGTAATCACTACACCATAAAAGTCAATATTCTCGTTACCCTGGACGTTCAACTTGTGCTCCCCCAGGAGCATTGGCATTGTCCTTGATTGTCACGCTTCGCCCAAGTGCACTGATTTATTTTTTTAAATTGTTTAGGGGGTAGGTTTGTCAGTAAAAGAGACTTACCTACCAGTCGGTCTTTTTTCCAGGAACGGTTCAGTGCTGGTTTACGTTCCGCTGAAGCTCTAAGATCTTGATTGACAATAAATCATATTGTTTATTGATGTAGAGGGCCACCGTCCAAACCCATTTCATCGGGTGTGTCGACATCCCTCTGATCACCGGATGACTCCCTGAGGCTTTGCCATGCTTAGCTGATGGCATTCACTGTTCCTCTTCATATTTTCCACTCTCCACCCGATACAGAATCAGTAAGGGAAATCGTCGAGAGCTTTTTGACTTCCTGAGAAACGAATGGAGAGGGGAGAGAATTTGTAAAGCATAAAAACCTAGAATTTACGAGCTAATGCTGTTCATTGGAGTGGACGGGAAGACGTTCACCTTTAAATTCACAAAACCGCACTGGAAACGGATGACTAGTTGGAGTATGGTATCATTACATATTTATTAACATGAAACATATATTCTTACCGGCTTCAAATTCCGTGAAGGATTTTTCTTGGATATTTTTTGCTGGTTTAGCCGATCTTTCCCTTCTACGCGTCATCCTGGAAGTCAAGTGTCCTATCTGCTTTTTTTCTCGTTAGCTCTCACAACAGGGCTTGGATATGAAACGCGTCGAATGGATACGTTTGATACGTGTCCACTGAAGTGGACGAAACGCACTAGAGTGGGAAAAGTGAAGCCATCTCCAAGAGTATATATATTTAACGTCGTGTCCGCTACAGTGGGCACTAAGCATGAAAGGGTTAAGGGCTAAAAGAGGTGCATGGTGAAGATGCAAGACAGGATGGGTGAATTTCATGCATGCTCCTCATTATCCATTCCTGAGAGTAAGGTTCTTCCCATCGACTTTATATAACCATTGATTATTCCATTCCCCACGTCTCTATTAATTTCTTGAACAGGCATGCAAGAACTGCTATATAGGCCCAATTGATTGCGGAAAGAAGATCAATTCGTCGATTAATTGGTGGTCTCTTCAATTCTCGAGTAGATGACGATCATATCCATGGCCTTTCCTGAAAGTTATTCAGGCAACCGAGGGCTCAGCAACCGAATCCATTTCCTCAAGCCTCAAACTGGTTAGTTTCAGTCGTGTTTGCTGGGTGACGAGCTTTATTCCCGCGCGGATTGGGTGAATTTCAATTGCATTTCATCCATATGTTCATGGGAGGAGGTGCACAATTCATGCAGACTATGCCTTTCACATTGCTCAAGCAGTATGCATTAGGTCATGGCATGCGTCTATTCCTATTGCCTCTAAATAAAATTGTATTCATGGACGTGAAGAGTTGCACACGTGGCGGAATCGTGGCGTTTTGGGTAATCATGTTGAAAGGTCAGCGTAATGCAAGGGTTGCATTTTGTTCCGTCAATTGGCGCCAGGCTCTCACGCCATCACACAACCATTAGGTTTCGTGATGTCAATGAGTGAGGAAATTTGAAAGCGAAAGAATAGCGGCACAATGAATGACGGGAACGGTGCAGGAAAATTCCCCAAGCGGACGTCATGTTTCTCGGGCGGCGGCGTCTATCGCCAGTCCAAGGGCATTGGCGGAAAGAGGAATTCGCAAAGAGCGAAAATGTAATATTTTCTTTTAAAAATGGAAAATCGTTTTCAGGAGGAATAGGACATGAAACAGAATAATTGCACCGAGGTCTCCGGGATCCATCATTTCAGGTATTTCAGGCGCGCCTACACAATGAGAAGCTCACAACTCGCAAAGGGATATTGCAAAGATTTCGCACATATACGTAGTAAGGTCCAAAAGTTTCCGGCCCAAGGATATAAAAGATGTGATAAAATTAAACAACCATTTTTATTTTTCAATATAATCTCCCTTTATTTCAATACATTTTTTAGAACGATGAATTAATTTTTCTATTCCACTAAAAAAATATTCTGAATTTTTGTCCTCAAAATGGTTCAAGACTGCAGAGATCACTTCTTCATCACTGGCAAATTTTTTTCCACGCAAATCAGACTTCAATTTTGAAAATAAAAAATAGTCACTAGGGGCTAGGTCGGGGCTGTAGGGTGGGTGATTTAGTTCTTCGAAACCACAGTGCTGAATAGCAGCCTTTGCAGCAACAGAAGTGTGCACCGGCGAATTGTCGTGCAATAACCTCACTCCTCGTGAGAGCCTTCCTCGGCGTTTTTCTTTGATGGCATTCTTCAATTTATACATTAATGATGCATAATATTCGCCAGTGACCGTAGTGTTTCTCTCTTTGAAGTCAACTAGTAGAATTCCCTGGCAATCCCAGAAAATGGTGGCCATAATCTTTTTTGGGATTGTGTCACCTTTGCTTTTTTTGGCCGTGGTGATCCAGGATGTCGCCACTCCATCGATTCCCTTTTAGACAGAGGATCATGGTACAGAACCATAGTCTCATCTCCCGTGACAATTGACTCGATCACTTCTTTCTCTTGTCCTTCGCAAAGCGTCAAAAATTCAGTGCAACATTCAACACGTCGTTGCTTTTGGACAGCACTCAAGAGTTTTGGTATCCATCTTGCGCTCACTTTATTCATGCCAAGATGATCGTGTAGAATTCGAAGTACTGTGGTTTTTGAAAGCCCACACCTTGCTGCTATTTCTTTTGTTTTCAGTCTTCTATCCTGTAACACTTCCTCTTGCACTAATGCAACTGTTTCGGGAGTGAGTGCTTCTGCTGGTCTGCCTTGACGAGGATCATCTTCAATGGATTCTCTGCCTAAGCGAAACTGCTTAGCCCAATCTTTCACCGTAGAATATGAAGGGGAAGATTCTCCATACACAGCATCCAAACATTGTTTAATTTCTGCTGGGCTTTTACCTTCTTTTGTAAGAAATTTAATGATCGCGCGATACTCAATTTTGAACATTTTCGAATGCAATGGAACAGCACGTCTACTCTTGACGCTAGCATCCATACTACTGAGGGTAGAGCTACCAAATTTTAACAGCAGCTTAACAGAACATAGGGTGGGGGGTTGCCGGCGTGGTACCTGTGAATTCATGTTCTAACTTGTTCGGGCCGGAAACTTCTGGACCTTACTACGTACCTTGAGACAGCAGATGTTTATTTTTGTTTTTACTCTTGCTTATTTTTAAGATTGAATGGGCTATGTATGCTGTGGTTGGAAGTACTCTGTAAAATTAGGAATAGCAGTAATTACATTTCACGGCTTTCAGAAATGCTATTTAGGCTCTCATCCACAATATTATGGAAGTGCTTCTTTGTCAACAAGGATTGTACTGCGGGTAAGAAATGAGTGACCAGTGATGGAGGGATTTGGTCTGGGTTTCTTTGTGAGTTTTAATATATTCTGACTGGATCAGTCAAGAATTGTTGTCCATTAAAATATGTCTTCCTTCAGTTTTGAAAAGTTCATAAATCACTTTCTGTCTGCTTTACAAATCTAGTGTGATTAAGGAGGTGAGCAAGGAGGATGGGAAGGTGGCAGCAGGTGCTGAAAAAGAAGCAGAAGGGAAACAGGAGGAACCAAGTCGACCTCCACCCAATCCACTTCTCAGTTTGCTCCAGTCTACAACTGGAATTGTAGATGCCATGTTGTCTGACCAACCTCTCAGTAAGGAGACCTTTAAAAAAATCCCTAAATATATTCCTAAATTTAATATAACAGTGTAAAGAGTGTAGAAATGACTGAGTCATATATCATGACTGGGTTTTTTTTTTTTTTTTTAGATAGTAAGTGCTTGGTGGCACCTTACACAGATTCCTCTCGCTACACCTTGGCCTACCTCTGCTCATGGATTCTCTATCTTGACTTTATTTCTGCTGTTCCTGATGAAGTCCAATACCACTACCTCAACTTCCTCAGGTATCATCACTCCAACACCTCATTGTGTGATACTCTTAACCCTGTGAACTACCATTCCGGGTCCAATGGAACCTGATACAAAAATGTAACCATCTGTGTATACTGCGTTGTAAACTTGTAAAATCCAATACTCCATATATTTTCTTGAAGACTTGATAGTAAACACCTGGTCATGTCTGGTGGCTGATATTTTTTGTATTAAAGAAGGTGAGAATGCAAAAAATGAAATTGTTTTTGCACTTCAATGCTGGAGCTCAGAATGCAGAACATGTGGGACATTAGCAAATAGCAATAACAAACACAGATCTCATTGTATGTCCTGCTTCTATCCTTTGGACATTATTGCCTTCATTTTGAATCCCACAATTTGGTCATGGGGAGTTCTTATGATGCCTAATCAAATATTGCTGCTCCTAAAATAGCCTAATGAAATTTCCCCTTGTAACTAAGAGGAAGTCTCTCTGGCTCACTGGTCTCATGCATCTGAGCTGCTTGCTGTCTACCTAATGACCTAGCAAACTCTAGCAACATGGCCCCTTCCTTGTGCTCTCTGATCAGGACAGAGTAAGAAGGCATGAAGCCCCTCTAACAACAAGTATCTAAATAAATAATTTATATAATAATTTGGCATTTTTGATTATGGATGCATTTTTAGCTGCCAAGATGGTTTCATAATATCATAATTTTTTTGAGCCACTACCATCATGATGACCTCAAATCTTGAGGTCATCATGCATCATACTTTGCAGCTTTGAACAACATTGCATTTATTTATTTTTTTTCATAACCATTATTCCCCTGCAATCATACCAGAAACAAAAAGGATAGGTTCTGATAGTGCAAAGAAACTGATTAATCAGATGTGATAAGTACCATTCATATTGGTTTTTTTTGTTTTCTTTTTCTGTTTTCAAGATATTTTGCAATTTTAGTGCTTCAGATGTAAAGTTCCACTTTTTCAGGATATAGGGATACTGACTTCCTAACCGACGAATTATCATAGACTGATTGACAGTGTTGGGTAACTTTGAATGGCCTTGCAGCTCTGCAGATAGGGAAAGCAAAAAACCTCTGATTGATGGAGCAGATACGTAATTCTATTCTATTACTAATGTGTTGTCCAAGTGTCACTGTGATTGAGAATCCTCCAGAAAGTGTTCAAGGAAAGGCTGGTAAATAGCACAAAATTAAATTATTTCATAAATGTTAAAATTCATATTAAAAGTTCATTTTTCCATGTTTTCTGTGAAATACTGTATATAGGCTTTCTGGTATTTTTTGCTGAATTTGTGAAAATGTCTGATTTTCCTTGAAAGTGACAAAAAGGCCCATTTGACCCATTGTGAAATTTCTTCTCAGTTACTCTGATAGTCATCTGAAATATTTGCATGTTTTCAGGGAGAAGAAATTGATGCATTCTCTGCTGAACCATCTACTACTCCTCCTTCCTGATTCAGCCATCCTGGCAGGAACTGAGGACACCATGTTTAGCTGCAAGCCACTTCTAACTACCTCTAGTATGTGGCTCCTTGTTCTTCATGAGCATACAGTGGCATCTTGTCCATCAGTGTTGAGTATTGTTCCATCAGAAAGCCAACCAATGCTGTTACCCTACAGTATTTCACCAAATCACTAACACCACTTGCTGTCTCTGCCATTGTGTGGCCACATTGGCACAGATGTCTGTCATTTCATCAGCTTAAGCAGATATTGAAGTGGCAGTGGAAATTTTAGAACCTAACAAGGTGCAGCATCCGTGGAACGTGAGTATGGAGCAATACACCTAACACACCTCACTATTGCATGATTGAGAGACAAATTTGAGTCTGAAGGCACCATGCAATATCTTGGGCATTGGATAGGACAACATGGACCTGTGGAATACCCACCACAATACTCAGATTGAACACCCCCAGATTTCCACTTATGGGGTGTCCTGAAGGACAAGGTGTAGGCCACAAAACTGGTGACCCTTCAGCAACTCCAACAGAGCATCAGTAACCCTTTCCATGGCAAATTAACACATCACATCAAATGACGTGGCGCAGCACGTGGCCCATATCACCGAGGACATGCTGGTACGCAGAGTTCTTTGTGCAACCATACCTCAGGAACCACTGAAGCTAAACTGAAGAGGAAAAAACTTGTGGATAAGACACAGTCTCCTCTTTCTTAGTTGCTTAGTCCATTGTCTCACAACGTCAGGGAGAAACGAGAGGGGCCACAAAGGAAGACCAATCTCTTGCATCATAACTGCTGTCAAGTGTTAAGAGAGGAATTAGAGAGAAAATGTATCATGTCTTTGGTTTAATCTAGCTTCAGGTAGCCAATTTTATGGGGTTGTGAGTTTTCGTGATCATGATGGGTGATAATTATAATGAATAATTTGAATTGGTTCTGAAAACTATTTGGATAAGGATTCAAGTGATGCGACTGAGACTGAAACTAGTGATGAGATATCCTCCATTGAATCTGACCATAAATTGGGCAAGTCATTTGCCTCTGACCTTTATGAATTGAATCCGTATCCACCCAAAGCTAAAGTTCCAAAGGTAGCAAATACGCTCAAATGGAAAGACACCCTATTGAACCCTGTAACCATCATGCCTTTCACTGGACAGCCCAGGATCAATCAGGCAGCAATGAACAGTGCAGCATATGTATTTTGTTGTTTCTTCAGTGACTATTTTTGATCACATAGTGACTGAAACTAGCCACTTTGCGAAAGACAGTTTTCACAACAAACTTCACTACCTTTGACAAGGGATGAACTTCTGGCCTACCTTGCCCAGTGTATCCTAATGGTACTGGTATACAAGTCTATGGTCCAATCTTACTGGTTGCTCAATGGATACATGTTTGGAGACACCATTTTTCAATGAAGTCGTGTAAGGTAAGGTTGATTCCCATCTATAAGTACCTGGACTTTGCCAATAATGCTATATTTGACTCCCAATGATCGACTGAAGAAAGTGCAGTCAGTTCTCAAGCTTCTTCAAGATTAATTCAAAGTGCTCTATAATCCAGGGAAAGATGTCTGGATAGATGGGTTCATGATAGATGTGTCCATTAGTAAAACATGAATTACAGGAACATTAGTTCAATTAAATGTTTTATTGCTTTTGCCGGTTGAAACATGCTTGCATGCTCCTGTGCACTCAGTCACATGGTGATGTGGGCCAGGAAGGGAGACTGCATGCCAGTGAAATCAAACTAACCTGAGCTGAACTGAGGATGTGCAGATGGGTTAATATGGGAGTGGTCAGAGATGCACTGAACTGGAGCCAAAACTTGTTTGTAACTAAGGCTCTTTGCTATATCAAAGACTGGATGACAGTTTATTCTTTTGATTGGACTATTGTTTTCCCTCAAAAAGTGTCTCCATATGGAGACGCTCTCATGGAAAGGGTTAATGCTTTCTCTGCCATTCCAGCTGAAACATGTGCAAATGTGTTGCACAGTTCTTCATCACTGCAATGCTTGCCTGGCTCCTAATGGTGGACATTTTGAACACCCTCACTAGTGTACAGTATAAATCATCAGTTGGCTTTCTGATCAAACAAGACTCAATGCTGATGGACCACATGTCACTGTATGCTAGACTATTGAAGTGTGTATACATCCCACAGGGACACCCTTTATATATAATGAGAAGTGAGAGACTTGATGCTCAAGTTTTTAGTGTTTTTTTAATTTTTAATATTCTTTTTTTGTGTACAGAAGGGGAATCAAGTGAGGAGTTGCAGCACCTGGCATGCCAGGTCTACCTCCTGGCCATGCAAATTCTCCCAGCCTTTGTGAGGTCATGGTATTCAGAATTGGACAAGAGCCTGGCTTCCTCTGTTGATCAATTCACAGCTAAATATGTGAGCCCCATCCTCTGCGAGGATGAAATCCAGGCTGTGCAAGGAGCTGAAAAAAGCTTTGTCAACATGACTGTAAGTCATCAGTCCTATCATCTCTTGTTAAATACTGTATGTGTGCAAGTATTGATATCCCTAACTGCATTAAGAGTCTACTTCACTAGTTCACTGGAATGTAGAGCATGCATTTTTTGAGAAGCTGAAACAAGCTGTGTGAAATGCATTGCAATGTAATTGAGGAGTTCTCTGGAAAAGGTGTGTAATAGCCCATACACCCTTTTCCAAGTCCATGTTCATGAACTGTTCAGCAGACAATCTGCAATATGTGGGGTATGCCAAAAGTTTCTAGCAATGCCCAAGACATGAGGCCAGTGAGAGTCCAAATGGTTTCATTCTGTAAGGTAGCATGCTTGAACATGTCAAGGGAAGTTTGGTTTCCATCGTCTGATTGTGAGTCATTCTATGTGCTGGAATGCGAGGTGGTTGCAATCTTGATTACTGTCAGTGATGATGTTCCACAATCTGCCTATTGTACCAGGTGCTGCACATAGTCCTCCCCTCCACAGCCTAAACTATAAGAGCTAGGAAAAAACTTGTGCATCATGAGAAAGAGCATTTATTTTTCTAATCTAAACATGAACTTCTAGAAATTTGTATTCACCCCAGCTGCATCTCTGACAGTTTTAAGACTAGTGGGGTAAGATGAAAACAGATACTTGAAGAGTTCCGTGTCATCTTCCATGTCCTTCCAACACTCTGGTGATGTTCCTTTATTTGCAAGGCTTCTCAGAGAATCCATTCTGCTTGCCCTCTGTATGCATGAGAGCCTCAACTCAATCTTTCAGAATAACCCCAGTGTTCTCCACATTTAGATCAGAAGAGCTTTCAGGCCATTCTGCTCATCCAAAGAAATCAATCCCTGAGTCTTTCTGCATTTGCTATGTGGTCAAAGCTTTGAAAAATAGGGCTTCATCATGCATATGCTGAACATTTAATTTTTTTTTTACTCATAGGGTATTGGTGATGGTTTTGCCACTTGTGGAGCAGAAAGTAGTGACTTCTAATGAGTATGTTGATGTCTGCCTGCTTGCAGTGTTTCAGGAGCTCAACAATACCCATCCTGCAACTGGACTTCATGGCATCATGCTGCATCATGACATCAGTGCACCAGGATGACAAATGCTGTCACTGCTCAACTTCTAAATAGCACAAAGATGATGATTGACAAAGAAGTAAAAAAGGAGTTTAAAAAGACACTCACTCTCAACCTCCTCCAGTGCCCAGCAACCTCACTGCTTCTTTCCCCCTCTATACACTGGAAGAAATTAGCAAGGCCTTGGCAGCCACTAAAAACAAAAACGCTGCTGGGATGGACTGTATCTTTCCCAAATATCTCAAGAATCTGGGACAGAAAGGCTGACATTAGGCAGCAAGGTTATTTACCTCCATCAAATCATCAGGAAATATTCCGAAAAGCTGGCGAGAGGCAAAGAATATCACCATACTAAAGCCTGGCAAACAACTGGATAAGCCCGCTGGCTATTGCCCAATATTGCTTCTCTCTACCATGAGCAAGCTGATGAAGAGGGCTCTACTAGCCTACCTGACATTGACCATTGAGGCAACTCTGCCAGAAGAACAGGCTGGTTTCCACTCCAAAAGAAGTTGCTGCAGCCAGGTACTAGCTCTCATGAGCCACATTGAAGCCAGTTTCCAGCAGAAACAAAAAACGAGCTTTGCCCTTGTCAATCTCTCCTCTGCATATGACACCATATGGAAAGATGGTCTTCTTCTTTAAACATCTACAGTCATCAGATGCTGCAGCATGATTCATCTCATAGCTGCCATGTTGAGTGACTGGAGATACAGTGTGCAACTAAATGGACAAGTTAGCAGACCCCTCATATTCAATAATGGACTGCCACAAGGTTCTGTTCTTGCTCTGTCACTCTTTGACCTCTACATGAGCAATTGCTGCAAACAACCTCCATAAAGTTTGTCTACACTGATGACATTATGCTTGCATCACAGGGTGCAATACTCTGTCATCAGAAACACCCTCACCACTGACCTGGACACTATAGTGGAATACTTCCAAAGATGGCAACTCTGCCCAAACCAAACCAAAATGTCAGTCATTCCACCTTGACAACCATGCTGCAAAAGAGACTCTTCTTGTCTCCTTCTGCAGCTATCAAGTAAATAAAGAAGCCACACCAAAATATACTGGTGTTACCCTGGACTGCAGCCTTGCCTTCAGACCCCACCTTGAAAGGATGTGTGACAAAATGAAGGCTAGGGTCAGTATCATGTGCAAACTGGCCAGAATCTTGTGGGGTGCCTGGGTACTCACACTATGAACACTAGCACTGGTCTACTTGCCTGCAGAATACTGTGCTCCCATTTGGGCCAGCAGTGCACACAACAAGGGCTTGGGTGCCCAACTCAACACATCAATGCATCTGATTACCAGGACTCTAAAATCCACTCCCATTGAATAGCTACGAACAGTCTCTCATATTCCTCCTCCCAACATTTGCAGAGGTGCACAGACATCATGCTTCTTTAGCTGAATACAAGCCAACCCTGATCTTCCAATAATGAGGACTTAAAAAATCTGCCAAGGTCCAAGCTAAAATCCCAGAACTTGCCCTGGGTCAGAGCTAACACTCGATGTGTCCTCCTTTGACCTGGAGGGATAGTGGAGAGCCATATGGGTCAAAGCCATTGTCCCCAACAAAAGGCTCGTTTCTGATCCCATGACAGAACTTGCTGGCTTCGACCTGTCAAGGAAGCAGTGGACTATGCTCAACCACATCCTCACTTTGCATGGCTGATTTTCCACCTCTGGTGGAAAATCAAGACCACACCCAGATGTGATTGCTCAAAGACCAAACCATCCAGCATATTATCCATCAGTACCCACTCCATTCATTTGCAGGCATCATAGATGAAGTCCACAACCATACTCCAACAGCTTCCAACTGGATCTCTGACCTTGACATAAACTTATAAATGTTGCTGATCACCCAACCACCATAAGCAAAAAGATGACAACACTAGTGCTCACACTACTGCCAGAACTGTTTTTGCATGAATCTGGTGTCCAGGTAGTTCCATATCCACCCTATTCACTTGACTTGGCCCAATGTGATGTCATTTTGTTCCCTAAAGCTAAGAGAGTGCTCAGAGGATGAAAGTTTGAGAGCAAAGATACTGCCATTGAAGCTCTTGTTGAGGTTCTGGATAGGGTCACCTTCGAGGAGTGGCAGTCTTGCTTCAAGAATTGGTTTTACAGGATGGCCATTGAAGTTGGTGGGGACTACTTTGAGAAAATTTGAGTTAATAATTGGAATAAAATTTGGCTGTGACAGTGATGCTAGAAATTTGATGGAAATAGTGCCCAGGAGGAGCAAGAAGCTCTTAGACCCCATGCATTTAATGGTTGTAGTGGCTGAGATATTTTTATTCTGTGGGAGCAAGAAACAGCCAATCTCATGGAAGGAGAACATGGAGATGACAATGAAGAACTGTATATGAGGAAAACCCTATTGACAGTGATGTACTCAGGCATTCATGTGTATATGTTATCTTTGTAGTTTCTCATAGTTCTTTCTCAATTACACTGTATCAAAGGTGATGTGATTGAAATGCATTGTGCTTTCCACAAATGACAGCAGATTGAAAGAACTAAGATTAAGAATGCTTCTAGCATGAAAAGTTATATATATTTGGAAACTCCATATTTGAATAGGTAAAGACACGCAAGAAGGTGCGTGAGGTGATTGCATCCTATGCTGTGGATGACTCTAAGGTGGAGCTGGTGGTGCGCCTTCCTAGCAACCACCCACTCTGCTCTGTGAGTATTGAGACAGGGAAGCGGGTTGGTGTGACAGAGAAGCAGTGGCGTACCTGGCAGCTCCAGCTTACCACCTTCCTGCAGCACCAGAATGGGTCCTTGGTCCATGGCCTGGGCCTGTGGAATCGCAACATCAATAAACGCTTTGAGGGGCTGGAGGAGTGCTACATCTGCTTCCATGTCATTCATGGCACAACTCATCATGTCCCACAGATCCCCTGTCGCACCTGCAAGAAAAAGTTTCATTCTGCCTGTCTTGTATGTATTCACTTTTTTTTCCTTTTCTTGTATTAGAATACCTTTGAAGACTTTTCTCCAGAAAATTGAGATTCTAAAAATATCTTCAGAAGGAAAATGAAGATTCATGAAAAAAAGGCAACTCTTCACATTCATTTGAAATTTAAAACTGAAATTTTTCTTAAATATAGTATCATGTAACTTGCAATTGTTACCAGATTAATTAATTATGATACATATTGATCATCTGAACAGGAATTTTGAAAAAAAGCTTTGCAATAGAACTTTCATGTTTGTAAAACTTAAGCAAGTGTACCAATCTAATATATATAGGTGATGGTGAGTGAGTGAGTGATAGAGTGACTGATGTTAATTTTAACCATGTTCTAGTTATGATAGAAAACTGAACCTTGGTAAACTAGTAGTTGGTGGAGTGCTGGGTTCAGAAAAAAATGCTACTTTTGAGGTACACCCCCCTGTGTTTACAATTTTTAGGGGAAGTGACATTCTTCCCAAAACTTTTTTGTTCCAGGGAAACTTGCAGATTGGTGAAATTCAGTAGACAAGCAGTTCTAGGAGTGCTGATTTTGCAAGAAATCCTATTTTTAGGGTAGAGCCATTGAGAGAATCTGCTTGATATTTTTTTGATAATGTGTAATATTTCAGTTATGTTGCAAAAGGTATTGTGCAAAGGAATACTTCAAGGGGACAACATTTCAGGCTAACTCTGCTCTCCATAATCTCCCCATGACCCCCCATTCCCCTTTCCTCAAACAAAAAAATCTGAATAGATTACAGATTTTTTTTACATAGATAATTGTGACTGACTCATGCTAATTATGAGTATGTTCCATATATAGTAAAAGGCTGAAATTTCGTACACAGTAGTTCTTGGACTGGTAATTATGAGAAAAACCCTATATATCCAGTATGATACCCTAGAGGCCCTTTTTTTGGGAGGGATGTCCATACATTTTTTAGCTTTAGCAGCATAGTTCTTACAGTTGTGTTATAAAAGGTATTGTATAAAGGGAAAATTCCTTGGGGGAAGCTAAGAATCTCCTTGCCACCTCCATCCCCCCCCCCAAAAAAAAACCATTGGTTTTCTGGTTTCTTTGATTGGACATTGCCTCTAGTTTCTCCTTTGAGGTAGTCACTGGTTAAGCTTTTTTGGCAGTGCATTAGACAATACATTGCAGTTGCCCTTATGCTGGAAAACCTGAAATTCATTGAAATGTGTATCAAAATTTTTGAAACTACTTAGGAGTTCTTTGGGGGAAGATGAATATTTTATTACTTTACTAACCTCAAATTGGCAATGGTGTCAGATAACTGAAATTAACATGATGTCACAAGAAAAAATGCCTAAAATCCTTTGATTTTACCACTTTAGAAGGTGCAAGTTCCAAAGATGCACGTGTGAAATAGTTTATTTATATCATCAAGCATCAAAGGTGTAAGTATTATGAGTTTGTCTGCCATTTGAACTAATATGCTTGCTAACTTGAATGCATGTAGAGCTGAGTGTTGATTGTAATTAATGCAACAGGTAAAGGCATTCATATCAACTGGAAATCCTAGTTAATTTTTCGTGCAGATGCCACTCCAGATGGGTCTTCCCTTTTCCTATTTTCTTACTTATGAGGGTAATCACTGTTCATGCACATCCCCTCTTTTTTGTGTTTTTTGCAGAGGCGATGGTTCGAGACAAGTCAGAACACAACATGTCCCCTCTGTCGAAACATTTTTTGAAGCACTTTTTATCATGAACCCTCATTTTCCCTTCATATTTTGTGAGAAATAAAGAGCTATGGTATTGAAGATGTGGGTGTTTCCTCAAGATCAAGCAGGAAGAACACATATTTCCCTTTTATTAAGAGAGAGGGTTCATGGTAACTGTGAGCCTGGGCCTCCAGCATCTCTGACTGACCAACCAATGTTTTTTTGCCTTTTTGGTATTGATCGATCAGAGCACCTTTTGTTTTGTGTTTCCAATTCAATTCCTTATTCCAAGAAGTTCTTCATTTTTGCCTCAAGTTCTTCAATGAAGACATTTTCTCATTCTTATTGCTTTCTTGGGGGTGTAGTTTTATTGCTTTACAAATCCCTGTCTTGTGCACTGTCGTCTAATAGTCTACCTTTATATTCATTTATTCATTTGCATTCAGTTGCCTACTCATTTCTTTAGGGACTTGATCAGTGTGGAGGCATGACATTCTGAGACATGGCTTATGGGTCATTGACAGAGACAATCACCAAATTCCTCAATGGGAAAGGAATCTTTACCTTCCCTTCTGAATGGGTGGAAGCTTGCATTGATTGGATCAAGGTCGAACGCAATGGATGCTTGGTCAGTTCTGTTTTTAGAACTTGACATGTATGCTTTCTTGGTCTTGATATGTATGCTTACTTGTTTGATGACCATAGTTCCTCTGGTTAGATATGCATGCTTCACATTAGCAGTTTCCCATATGTGCAGCTTCCTTATTGCTTGTGAATTGGACTTATAATATTGAAGAGTGTGCACTGGCAAATTTTTTTTTTTTAATACACAAATCGACTCAAAAAATCAGAGACTGTCACTTAACACTTTGCACCCCTTCACTTCCATAGACCTTCATAAACCATGTTATGAGCCAAAGTAAATGGTATGAAAACTAGGAACTCAAAATTCATCCTTGAAAGGTTTTTGATGGACTTAGGTGCTTAGCTAGTTCATCCCAAGATTTTCAAATTTATTATTTTTTCATGTTTTTTTTTAATTTCACTTCAATCAATGCAATGCCTGCACTTGCCTCTGGTTGCATAGAATATCCAGACATGGCTCCATTTGTAACCCTTTACTGCATGATATATGAAAACTTTGGAGAAGAACATTCAAATTTCTTATGCATTTCATTAAAGGTATGAATAGAAAATATGTTGTAACAAACTGTCAAAATTCTGTTGTTTTATTGTAATTTTGGGTTTTTGCCAAAATGGAATAAATTTTCAGAAAGAGATTTAAACTGCAACAGGTAGAATTTGTAAAAAGTCTGATAAAGATATGAGACAACATATGCAGTGGCGTAGGCAGGAAATCGGCAAGGGGGGGGGGGGGGTGAGGCCAGGTAGACACCCCAACCCTACGCCTAACTCCACTACCCGGAATTTATCTTTTCAAAGAAATCATGGTCTGGCATCTTGGGTGTGTGGATGGACCTCAGACTTTCCTCGAAGGGGCATAGCTAAAATTGGAATTCCCAAGGAAGGTTGAAATATGCCTGTCAGTGTCACTGACCAAGAAGCCCAAGGGGAGGGTTCTAACCCCCTAAACGCCCCCCATCCCTACGCCACTGAACATATGCATGACAGCTTTTTCAGACATGAAACATAATTTAAAAAGCAAGAAGTTTGCGTTGAAATAAGGTGAAAGGCCTCCTACTCGGCTATGGTATTGACCCAGTATTTTCAATATGCTCCCAGTTGGTAACAAATATAAATTTAGAAAGTATTTATGTTCTTCCCAATATAGAACATCAAGGATGTTCAGAAATTCCTCATTCACCACACAGCGAGTTTTCAGCCAATTTATATTGAAGTTATTCTGGTATGTTCCATGTTGGGATGCAGTGAAGGGTCAAAGCAAACCCAGGCAGGTAAATTTCAATGCTGTGATAGGAACTGAAGTAGTTCTTTAAATGCCCTGCGTAAGAGACGTTTAAGGACCACCTTTACAAGGTGGGCCAAAAGTCAGGACACAATTTAAATTTTGATATTTAGTTTTATTTAGTTATTATTATAAATATAGTTAAATATGAATTATTAATATTGTTAAATATTACATTTGATATAATTATAAATGTATAAATAGCTTATATATATGTAATATTCCTGGTTACTCTTGTAATGAATAAAGCAAATTATCATAAAAATGTTAAGTGTGTCCTGACTTTTGGCCCATCCTGTATGTGATCCTAAGGGAACTGGATCTTCATTGCAGCAACGTGCTGGTAATCTTCCTTGAGAGTTATGCTGAGGTCAGGAAGTATCTAAGTATTTTGAAAGCCTTTCTTCGGCAGAGGTTTGCTGCCTTCTCCGGGAGTTGCTTTCCATTACATTAGTTAAGGGGCATTGCCGCCTCCTGGCTCTCGTGCCCTTCTTGGGGTGACGGGCCAAAAAGGAAGTTGCCAGCACTCGTGGCACCTTTGGTTGCCATGGCTCATAGGTTGAGAATCTCTGTTCTAAAATGCTCGGCCACTTTATTAGGACCTCAGCCAGATGGTGGATTGGACCGCCTTGGCCGCAATCACTGTAGCTAGTCCGCGTGGCATGGATTCTCCAAGACGTTTGGAAGTGTCCGGCAGGATTTCACCCCATTCGTCCTATATTATTGAACTGCACTTGGACGTTGAATTCAGCAGAGGTATGTGATGACTAAATGCGTCGCTTGGGTTAGTCTCACAAATTTTCGATTGACTCCAGTACCGGGAATCGTACCAACCTTGGAGCCCCTTTCATGTTCCTCAAGCCGTGCAAAGAACGATGTGCGCGCAGTAAATGGTCGCACTATCGCGCTGGAAGTAGAAATCACCATAAGAGTTGAAGTGCATCACTGTTGAGTGTATCTGATCGGCAATGGCAATTAGCCCATTAGCTTTTTAATTTCCGAGCACTAAATTTGCACCAGATTATGATTTTTGATTGATTATGATTTCGATAGCTCGGAACTTCAGCTTTAAGACGATGTGCAACGTGTGCTGCTAATTCTTAGAGAAATGCACGAACTTCTTAAACAAAAAGCCGGGTACGACCGGCGGATCGCCGATTTCATTAGAATGGGCTTCGCTATAGCAGTCGACGAATCGCCGGCTTTGTAAGTGAATGGGTTAAATACACCCTGGCCCCGGGGGGGGGGGGGGGGAATCGGCTTTCCAATTTAATCAAGGTTCCAGGCTATGACACGAGAATATTTCCCACACCATGACACCTCTGCCGACTGCCTGAACCGTCGGCATCACGCACGTCGGGTCGAAGGCTTCCTACGGTTTTCTCCACCAGTCTCTCCAGTCAGTGCAGAACAGAGTGAACTGTGACCCATCGGAACCGCATCACTCACTCTCAGTCGCCGATGGTCCAATATTACCGCTCCCAACACCACTGTAGCCATACTGTTACCTCTTGTTTGCGTCCTAAGTCATGGATTTCCAAAACAGTAACAGGCTATCGTAGTCCTTCCATCACAATGTGCATCCTGTGTTACGGGTAGACACGGTCGACTGCTGCCTGGGATGGAATTCATCTGTCAATTTTCCCATCTGACCTCGGTCCGACTTCGCCAGCCTTTCTGACATTCGCCACCCTCTGTCCGTGCAAAAAGGTGTTTGTAGCCACAGTTATGCCTCGCGGCCCAAATTTAACAACCGTTTGGCCATGCTGATGCACTTGGATGACGGTCGTCTTCGCGCAGCGTAGCAGAGTGACTGAGTTCTACCGTAACACCGGCTCGACTCGCACCCACTGTCGTGCTCCTTCCGAACGACGTAAAAATCTTAACTTTACCAAAGGTCCAGTCTGCGAAGGGTTGTAAACTTTATGGAAACGAGCATGTTCTGGCTCTGGAAGATTTCGTGGGCTAGGGTTTTCTTGCTGAACTACCTGTCGGCTTTCGTATGGTATTAAAAGTTTGCGATGCAAAAGATGAGAAGGCTTGGACTTTAAGGATGCCTCCAAAAATCAATTTTTGTTGGTAGGAGTACAGCACGCACCTGTATGATTTTTAAGTCCTAATAAAGTGGCTAGATAATGCAGAAGAATCTTGGAAATTGTTCAGAATTGGGTAATGGAATTAGGCGTTGGGGGAGATCAAGTGCTGTAACCAGACTAATAAGTTCGATTTAAAAGTGTTCATTCGTTAAGCCAAAACCATATGTAAAATAGTTGCTTTGTGTTGTTGCCAGCCCTAAATTTCCTCACAAGCGTCATAAGTTGCATGGGGAAGTTTGCTCTACCGCTAGGATTGACCATGGACTAAGAATATATTTTTTGGAGATGTTCTATGGTAAAGCTAGAGTAAATGCTGAATTGAGATCAATATTCATATAGGGGAGTCCTAAGTGGTTGGATTATGCTTACCTGGTTAGCAAGTCCATTTTTGTCTGATGGGGTACAATACTTCATCTCCCTGAAACCTTTAGCATGGGGATATGTGACTTGATTTCTAATATGAAATGCAACTTATACTGATTTTGTTTTAGATTGATACATGCCAAAAGAAACCTCTTTTCCAAATAATTTATCTTTGTGGATTTCCTTTAATGCATGTTTCTCATGTTTTTTATATCCTGGCAGCCAGTGTTGAATGAGTTGAAGGAGTTGGTCCTGGAGCAGTGGCTTCTGTCTGACCTGCGGGAACTAGCCACTCATGTTCTGCCACATCAGCTCAGCCTTGCCCACAAGCGTGTTCTCACTGGCCCCTTTGCTTTACAGGTCAGCCCTCTCTCACCATTCTTTCATCCTTTTTGATTGAAGTCGATGCAAAGTTTATTTATTATTTTAGCTGTTCCCTTGTTGCCTTGAGCATTTCATGGTATTGGTTCATCATCTTCAATTGTTTCCCCGACCTCAGTTTAGCTTCAGTCATTCAATCACTCCAAAAATTTTAGATTTTTTCCCTCATTCAATACTGTGTTCCATCATGACCTATCTCTGTCATTGTCAACTTGTCATTGTCATTGTCATGCTAGCAAATTTGCATTAACCCATTCACTGTTAGCCCCTCAGGCCAGTTTGCCATGCTCTGTATGCGCAACATTTCCTTTGCTGCTAGTGGTTTGCCATACAGGCTACATCAAGTGTAAGGCTTGTAAAAAGTCATCTGATTGAAATGATTACACTTATGCCTTACACTCAACGTTCCCTGTACAGCAAACCACCTGCAGCAAAGAAAATGTCACACATACGAGGTATGGCAAACTGGCCTGAGAGGTTAACAGTGAAAACAGGAAATACTGAAAAAGTCTATACAAGGTATTATTGAACATGACATTGATAGGAAAAGACCCCTCATATGCCCCCTGTCAAATATAGAGACAGGCTACTTGCAGTGCAGTGGGTGTGGCCCTTCAATGTATGGAGGACTATATCAATGACTAGATAAATAGCTTATGATATGAAATGGTTTTCTTTTATGGTAAAATCTCATACTAATGGGTTAAGGTGTATAAAATTGGCAGATGAACTGGGTGCGGGATGTGGGTCGGCCAAGTTATGTGCAACTGCAGCGCCTTCAGAAAGTGGACACTTCAAACCTGTCTGTGTACACGATGCCACAAGACAAGGAGCAAGGAGAAGAAAGCACAGTCCATGGGCATGGAGGAGAGAAAATAACCACAAATCGGATGCTGATGATGGAACTGACTGATGGAGCTCAGGGTATCAAGGCCATGGAGTATCAACCCATCCCTCTCCTCTCACCTGATCTCAAGCCTGGCACAAAGGTCCTTTCTTCTTCCTATCCAGCTCAAGCTATGATTTTCTGTTTTCAGCATTATATTTGCTCATTCAAATCATTATTCATAGTTTCTTTTATTAGTCATAGGAAGAATTTGCCTTTGCCTCCAAGTTTTTTCTTTTTCTTTTATTGTTGTATTTTGATTTCATGAGTTATTTTTTAATTACACTATTCTCATGCATTCAACTTGCCCAATAATCTTGCTTTAAATGTATTATCATCATGCTTCAGAAAATCAAGTGCCCTTGTTTATTGGGAATGTGAATTAATGGACCATAGCTATGGAACAGTGCTTTACTATCCATACTTGCTCCTGCATTGAATACTGAGGCATTTCAGTTCAGTTATAATCATTTGAAATGAAGAGAAGAAAATAAAATGTCACTTACCTTTTTTTGGGGCCACCTTGTATCAACTCCTGTCATTATTAAAACATCCAACTGGTTTTGTGCTGACCGTCTAAAAAATAGCCTGATTCTGGCAGGGATTAATTCTGCAGCTCATGTATGTTCTTACAACCAAGCAAATGAAATGAACAAACCTTGTTATATTCATGGGGAAGAACCTAAAATCCCATGTCTCTAAACCTGACATGTCAACTTATAGTCATGGGTTGCAGACATTACTTATATCAGAAAATCTGTGCGAAAAGGTCTTTTCTAGCTGTTGTCTCATGCATGGCAGGCAACTACAGGGTGTTTGAAAAGTCACTGTGCTGTAGAATTCACAACATGACATAGGAGGCCTCACTTTAGCTAGGAATTACAGACAATAAATTATGTGAATCGGGGATGGTGCTAATATTTGATGAAGTAATGAGTGGAAATTCATGTCTTTGATGATACAATACATGTGATATGCAGTACAATACTAAATACATGCAATAAAATAAATGAATTCTACTGCACAGTGACTTTTCAAACACCCTGTAGTATTGCTATATATAGTATCTATATTTCATATCTAATACATACAGATCATGACTGACTGACTGACTGATGCTAATTCTAACCATGTTCTAGATATGATGGAAGGATGAAACTTGGTATGTAAGTACCTATTGGGATGCTGAGTCCAGAAAAATTTAGACTTCAGAGGTAAATGCCCTGAGGGTACAAATCTCAGGGGAGATAATTTCAAATAATTTTTTTGCTTCAGTCAAATGGGTAAACCTGGAAAGCTTAAACTTGACATGGCCTACTGAGAAACTGAGTTCAAGAAAAATGTCAAGTTTCAGATGCACGCCATGGTGGCATATTTTTTAGGGGTGACGTTTTCTAATTTTTTTTTGTCCTACTGAATTGGGCTGAGGTAGAAAGGTGAAACTTGGCACACCAATAATTGAGATGATGTTGAGTTCAGAAAATATTCAAATTTTGTGGTGTGTACCCTCATGGCAAAACTTTTGACTGCATCAGCTTTTCCAAAGATATGTTTGCACCAGCTAAAAGGGCAAACAGATAAGACTGAAACTTGGTAGGCACATAGTTCTCTAAGAACTGATTTCAGTAAGAAAGTTAATTTTTATGTAAAATCCCTAAGGGCACATTTTTTGGAAAAGGCGCCTTTTCCCAAATCTCTTTTTATCCAAATGAAGAGAGAACTAAAGAAAGTTGAAACTTGGAGCAGAAGTACCTGTTCGATTGCTAAGTGCAGATCCTTCTTTTTAAATATGTCCCCTCAGGGCAGATTATAGAGATTTTGAAGCAAGGCTCACAATAAATAATCAGAGTAATTATTTCAATGAAAATAACAGTTTGTCCTCTCATGGCACATATTTTAACAGGCACATACTTTTAATACATTTTTCTCCCTTTGAAAATAAATTAATGAATGAATCACTATCCTGGACAATGGAGCGCTGAAGGCACAACCACAGGTGCGACCATTATATATACAGGGTGATGCAAAAGTCACTTGAATTTTTTTTGGGTGCTATATATGGTATCAATCAATTCGTCAGCTTCTCCAGAGCAGTTTGGTGTAATGTGAGTGTGGGGCTACTGATACTTTGGAAGAAATGACAGGAAAAGAGGTGTGACATGCATATGTTTTCTTGCCTATTACAATGGATTTAGGACAATGGAAAGAGAGCAACAGATGAGTGTTATAACACATGCCCAAAGTGACCACCATCTGCTTCAGCATGTGACGCCATTCACAATAGAAAGGTTGACATAGCACTGCAAACTTAGTCATGGTGGATGTGCAGAACTTTGTGATAGACAGTATGCTCAGTTCCAGGAAGTGGTTAGATGATGAGAATGAGCAATTTCAGAAGCACCAGCAGCCCCGTAGTCTGCAGAATTGAAATCTGGAGATCATGGGGGCCATGAAGTTATAAAATGTCAGCTTAGGATGTTGTCCCCATAGTGTTGCAAAGAACAGGTTTCACCTGAAGGTGGGTATGGGGAGGAGTGCCATTTTAATGGATGATGATAAGTACCATATACTGCCTGGTTCGAAGTTTGAGAATTGCAAAAGTTCAAAATGTGTAGGAAGCTTGGGTCATTGATGATCACAGTGTGAAATCCATCTGGATCTGGTCCCTCAAAGAAGTAGGGATCAATCAGGAAGTCTGCTGTGAAATCACACCTGTAAATTTGACATCATGATTGGAGCACACCATGAGGATTTTCGTCAACCCGTGCATGGGAAGTTGTTCATGTTCATGATGCCAAGAGTCAAATGAAATTGAAATCTGTGCTGCATACATCAACAATGACTTTGTAAGTCAGTTTGTGACGTGTGATGGGCAACACAACATACACAAATTGGAGGTGCTCACATGAGCCACTTGCCACCGTCGTGAAAAGTGCTCACATTAGGTTCATTGTGGTATTCCATTGGACCATGATAATGAGTGTGAAAGGACACATGCTCTTGTTAGGTGTTACTATCAATGTGGGAATACTTTGAATAAATACGTTCCACCTCACTAACAATTTATGAAAAACATCAATTTTGATTAAGTCAAACAAACGTAGCCCGGAATTTGGAAGGGTATGATGAAAAAGGGTGAATGTCTGATTCTGTAAAAGAAAAGTTTTTTAGCTATCAGCATACAATATTTTTCAAACATTATTACGTTTAGTTTTAAATTCAAGTTTTTCTTGATGGCATGTGTTTTTCTTCATTCCTTATTGTTGGAAGTTTCCATAATGACTATTAAATTCTGACTCTTTTTAAATAAAAATGGTATTTCATCATAACCCAGCCTAACCCAACCTAACCTAACAAAACATTTTTAAACCCTTCACGTCACACATGACATGGTGGTCACATTGAACATGTGTTACCATAACACCTCTTTCTCTCTCTCTCGTTCTCATAACACCTCTTTTACTCTCTTTCATTCATTCTGAACCCATTGTGATAGCCAAGAAAATGTATGCTCCTCACACCTCTTCTCCTGTCACTCAAGTATCTTTAGCCCCACACTCATATTACACAAAACTGCTCCAGAGAAGCTGACGAATTGATTGATATCATATATGGCACAAAAAAATTCAAGTGACTTTGGAATCACCCTGTATATTGTATAATCATTGTGTATTGCCAGTCATTCTCATCTATGCAGCTATTCATTTCCATTCTCCATTCATTAAATTTTAAATTGGATCTACTGTAGGTACTGATCAGTGGTAAAGTGGAATGTCGTCGTGGGGTCCTGATGCTGAAGTCAGAGCATGTCCAAGTTCTTGGAGGGGAAGTGGACATCCTGATGGACACCAACAAGCAGGAAAACCTTCTTGCACGGCATCTGTGAGCTCTTCATTCTCACTCTTGATATCTGATGTCTTGGTTCCTTTCTTGAGTTCTCATGTCATCATAGAAGTTATCTTTCATCTCTCAGTCTCCTTCATGTGTTTGGTTTTGTTCCTTTTCCACATGCTTTAGTTTTCATTTGGCCGTGATTTGTTCTTCCATTTCTTTCATATTCATCAGAATTTGTTATTTTCGTTCTATATTTTCTCATGACTTCATTAATTTTAATATCTATTGTTGTTGGTAGGGAACTGCAGGAGGGAAGAGAGAAGGTGAAGGGAAATCAGCAGGCAAGAGTTACATCAGCAATGCACTCAAAACAGCCAGTGCCAACAGAAGGCATCCTATCCAAGATCCCAGAAGATGATGATCTTTGTTTGCATAACTTCAGGAACTCTGAGGTCTTAGATGCAGACAAGTGTAGATCATCATCCATATCAGCATTTCCTTCCAATGAATACATTTTTGAAAGTGAAGTGCTTAATGATGGAGCATTTCTTGATGATGATGATCTTCTTCTCAGTCAATTGGATGAGTCCCAACTGACAGGACCTTTGGAACAACAGCAACAGCCACAAGTCTCATCAGCAGTGGAGCACCAGGTCTTCTCCAGGTGCATCCCACAAAAGTCAACTGTCACAGAATTGATTCCCATTGCAGAACCTGATTCTGTTGCCATGGATATGAGTCCAATGAAAACAGCATTATCATCTGCAAGAGCAGTGAGGACTGATAATAAATGTAATCCTTCCCAGAATGTTTCAATTGCAAAGCATGTTGCAAGATATCCTTCCTTTCCTACAACATCAGCTTCATCTTCCAGTGCATATCAAGAGCCATTCTCTCTCAAGAAGCCAGTGGCAAGCCAAGTTTCTCCTTCCATCGACAATGATTCTATTTTTATTACAAAAGCAGGTCCTAGTGTCATAGGAAGAGGTTCTACATTCAAACCAGTTGCAGTTTCTCTCACAGCAGAGAAATCCTCAATTATTTTGACAGAACCACAAGATTCTTCAACCTTGGCAAAGCCATCAGCCCTTGTGAAGCCCTGTCAGGATGAATGGTCAAGGCATGTCCTAGATGACCTAGAAGTGATCAATCTTACTCCCAAACAGCAGCAGAAGGCTTCAGCCATCCCAGATGAAGAGATTGTAAAGCTGAAAGACATTCAAAGACCAACAGTGGGTGTATTGGGAGTGTATGTGGTTGTGTTTATCTACTCTCTGACATCCACATTGAAAACAACCAGTGGAACTGCATGGCATTTGGTTGTCCTCCTGAAGGATCCTTCTGCATCTCTTGAAGCCAACTTTCATGATTCGGTCAGCTCTCCATTGCATCTTCCTGTTGCCCTAAATAAGGAAGTGACTTGCTATGCATTGCTGATTAGAATCCTTCAGCTCAGAAGATAATACAGGTGGCACATAAAAATCACACTGAGATTTTTATGCTTATATCTCAACTTCAAGAAGAAAACTACAAATCATAAAAAGCCTACATCTATCTTTCCTCTCAACCCCATGAAAACTTTGTATTTCTAGCTACCAGAGAATACCCACAGCAATTGTTTGACTAAGACACCTAAAAAAATTTAATATCATGTCTCACCTTATCTGAAAAGGTATGCAATGGATTCTCCTGTGGCATTGTATACAGCACATAATCTAGCTTTCTGTTAAGTGATGGACTTGCAAGTCTCCTTCATTGTGATCTCATTGCAGGCTTGTTGAATTCTGGCTCTCTCTATGGCAATGGAGTGATCCATCTTGGATCACTCAACTCACCAGCTAGTGTTTTAGAGTCAAGACAAATGCTAGCTTGATGTCATACAGTGCTTGTGCAGTACTCCTGAACTGTGCATGATGTGAAAATCTTGAGGTGTCTTAGTCAAACTGTCACTGTGAATGTACTCTGGTAGCCAAAATTTATAGTTTTCATGGGGCTGAGAAGGATAGATGTATTCATGGTATGATTTGTATGCTTCTGCCTCATCTGAAAGTTGAGAAATAAATATTAAAGTCTGGATGCCTCTTGGTATTATGCAGCCATAGGATAATGTGAGACTATTTGAGTCTGACCTTCTGAGGGGAAGGGAAGCCACCATTGGTGGGATTGAGAGGTGGTATGTTAATCTACCAATTCCCTCCCCAAGTAATTGGTGAGAATGTCATGACCCTTTCATGTATAGGGTGGTTAAAAAAAAACACTCTACTGTTTTCTATGGGAGAAGCACAGTTTCATGCAGCATAAAAAATTATATTGGATACGTGATCGATATTTGATAGCTACAAGGTGTTGCAATGCTTGTCAGCTTTTTTTCAGCACTCTTGCCTAAGTCATGCAATGATTTAGAGGTGAATTAAAGATGCTTAGAGGTGGATCGTTCTGCCTCAAGTGAGGTGCTCTGTGCTCAACCGTCTCAGAATTTAATGAATTTTTCAATGTTCATTTTTCAAGGGACAGATCAATCCAGCTGATACTTGACAGAGAGGTTCATGAGTCTAAGAGGTTTTTTTCACTCCCACAAGATGGCACTGTATCCAAATAGAGGGCACTGTTGTTGACCAAGTCACCAAGGGTGATTAAAAAAAAGGTGTAATGCTCCACCTATAAACTGTGTAATGGGACAATACGTTGTGCAAAGAATTGTTCAGAAAAAAATACAATATTTTCAACACCTCCTATATGTTCAATATTAAGAGTTTATGAACCTTATATGTTTTCCTCAAATACATGAATCAATATGTGCAAGGTATATATATAGGGTGGTTTAAAAAACGCTCTACCATTTTCTATGGGAGAAACACAGTTTCATAAATGCAGCAAAAAAATTACATTGAATACGCAATCGATATTTGACAGTTTGACAGGTGCTGAAATGCTTGGTAGCTTTTTTTCAGCAACCCTGCTTAAGTCATGCAATGCCCATTTAGATGTGAATTAAAGGTGCCTAGAGGTGGATCTTTTCACCCCAAGTGAGGTGATTACCTGTGCTCGACTATCTCAGAATTCAATGAACTTTGCAACTTTAACTTTTCAAGGGACAGTTGGATCCAGCTGATACTTGACAGAGAGGTTCAAGAGTCTGAGAGGTTATTTTCACTTCCGCAAGATGGCGCTGTATCCAATAAAAGGCGCTGCTGTTGACTGGGTGACCAAGGGTGATTTAAAAAAAGCTTCACCATTTTCAAAGATTCAAGATTCAAGATAGTTAGTGATATCAAGAGGCGATTTCGCCCATTTCGATATCACGTGTCGAGGTCGAGCGTTCCTTAATTTTAGGGTAGGCCTAACCCTCTTAAAGCTAAATAATTTTGTATTTTTGATTTGTTTTGTTTTTTGTTTTTTTTATTTATTATTATTTGACTATCCTAGTTGCTTACTGTCTAGTAGGGTAAAAGACCCAGTGATGGGCCACTTCGCAGGAAAATTCCAAAAACTAGGCATTTGTTCCATGAACACCTCTGAAGTGTCCATGTGCTTGAATGCTGCTAGCATGTCACAACATGGGTAGGCTTGCTATGGAAGCTTAGCTATTGGAATTTTTATGTGCTGTGGCCCATCACTGGGGACCGGTCCATCACTGGGTCTTTTACCCTACCTAACGTCAACATTNATATCGAAATGGGCGAAATCGCCTCTTGATATCACTAACTATCTTGAATCTTGAATCTTTGAAAATGGTGAAGCTTTTTTTAAATCACCCTTGGTCACCCAGTCAACAGCAGCGCCTTTTATTGGATACAGCGCCATCTTGCGGAAGTGAAAATAACCTCTCAGACTCTTGAACCTCTCTGTCAAGTATCAGCTGGATCCAACTGTCCCTTGAAAAGTTAAAGTTGCAAAGTTCATTGAATTCTGAGATAGTCGAGCACAGGTAATCACCTCACTTGGGGTGAAAAGATCCACCTCTAGGCACCTTTAATTCACATCTAAATGGGCATTGCATGACTTAAGCAGGGTTGCTGAAAAAAAGCTACCAAGCATTTCAGCACCTGTCAAACTGTCAAATATCGATTGCGTATTCAATGTAATTTTTTTGCTGCATTTATGAAACTGTGTTTCTCCCATAGAAAATGGTAGAGCGTTTTTTAAACCACCCTATATATATACCTTGCACATATTGATTCATGCCTGTCTCCCCCCAGTTTCTGAGTTCACAGGAATCCAGTTGCATTATACTTATGAATGACCCATATTGCCCCTACTCAGGGGACAATAAGTGATTGGAATGAACATCTAAAGCAGTGGTTCCCAACCTCAGGTCACAACCCAAATTAGGGTCGCAAAGGGTAATCAGAATAAAAAATTTTTTTGTGCAAAATGCATATTATTTCATTATGAAGATATTTATATACATATTTAAATTTTATTATAAGCCTGAGGGTTGGGAGGTCCTGTTGGTGGCCAATTTAGGGTCGCAGCAAAAAAAGGTTGGGAACCACTGATCTAAAGAAACAAAACCATTAGCATTTGGAAAGTAAAAAAAAACGTAGTAACCCAAATAGAAGTGAATTGACCACTCAAATCCATATATGACTATCTCACAAAGGGCCCACTGCATCCTTCTTGGTATAACAAATGAAAGATTTAATGAAAAAAGTTGAACAAAATAATTATACTTAGTAAATAAATAATGCAAAAACATTAAGAAAAGGAAACAATCATAGATGGAAAGGGCTGAGGACTGACTGAACTTGATGGAAGAATTTATCTGAAAAGGACTGAAGAAATGAGAGGCAGGAGTTCTAAGCTTAATAAGACTTTATCAAAGTCTGATAGAATATCCTTATGGACACAAGAAAGAAATCACTCTTACTATAGGAATAAAAAATATATAAACATTTCTATTTTGAATTTTGAGACCTTTTCAAGTCTCAGATGGATGGGTGGTTACAATGTATCCTAACAGGTAAGAACAGCTGGGGTAAGTGTGATCAGTACCCCATTTTGCTATTTACATGTAATCAATTAAAGTACTCTGTCGTGGCAATTCTGGTTTGAATATCCAATTAAGTCTTGCTGTTACCACTGAGAAAAATATTTTCAAGAGCATCCTCATTTACCTCTAGTACTTGATTCCGACTGCTTCTTTCAACCCTCATTTGTCAGTAATGCTGAATGAAAATCCATTTTTTGTGTCATACCAAAGTGAATTCCTCACCTTACATACTCTTCCTTTTTCAGATAACTTCTCAAGGAGTTATATTGAAAGTTACAATATGAAATCCAAATTTATTCAGTGCTGAGAATTTATTATATCAACATGACTCCCATTTATAAGACAATGGAAAATGCTTGTCTTGTGATACTTTTACAATCAAGGCATTAGTTTTAAAAATTCAAAGCATGCAGGCCCATGTGCCTTCCAGTGGTCAAGAGCAATCCACTGCTTGAGCCAGCAGTAAATTATTTCTGAAGTGATTAATTAGCAAGAAATGAGAATGAATGATGTACCAATTTCCAGGTCCTGGAGAAGCTGATAGGCTTCTCTGCCTTAGAGGCAAGTCAGATGAAGCATGAGGCCAAAGTCTCCTCAAACTCCTCTGTCAGACACCAACTCATTCAGGTATAATCCTCCCTTACTTAAGTTGCATTCCTCATTCTGTTTCTGCCCTAACTGCTGTAGACTTCAATGGGAAATCTTCCTTGTACTTTCCCTATGCATAGGAACTAGCCTCAATTTTTTATCTGATCTATGTATCATTGTAATTCTGGAACTTTTTCCTTCCCAAGGCCCTGCAGAAATGTGAGGAAAGGTTGAAGTCTCTGCACTGTTGTATGAAATTAGAGTGGAAGAGCAATCTCCCCAGACCATCCATCACCTGGGTCCAAGACTTGTGAATCTCTGCCTTATTTTTTTCTCTTTCATTATTGTATTCATTTTTGAAGTTTCATGAATTTCTTTCATGGTTGAAATTGTGATAAGATGAAGGTGGAACTACTTGTAATTCCAGTGTGTAACATGGTATTTCAATGCAGCTTTGACTGTGATTTGTGGACTTATGGTGAAGGACATCATGGATTGTCCTTAAATTCACATATCACCATCAGAAGTAATTGGTAAGATTTTCTCAAATCCATCCAGAACTGGTTTGAGGATATAACTGTTGGTGGTTCTCGTCATCCCCTTCAAGCAGGTGGCTCTCCAAAATGAGAAAGTATGGAACTATTTGCTTCATCCCCCAAATGAGTTCCCTAACATACTGATGGACTTGCAACTGTATCTCAAGATTTACATATATTGAGTTGTAAATCAGTGACTAATGTGTGGCTTTGCGAAACTGGGCAGTTAGGTTTGGAAATTTTGACCTTTCTTTCCATGGCAGAAAGGGAAGCAGAGAGAGCTGTGCACTTGGGTTGTTTAAGGATTTCGACTAACAAGAAAAGGAAAGAGACGTGTTCGAAGGAGGAAGTGTAAATGACATCCAAATTTTAATTCACATTTTTTTACCTAGTTGATTTCATCTCATAGAGAACTGTTTTAAGATTTAGAAATGCTACATGTGCCTACCTGAGCAATGGACATTCTTATATATACAGGTTAAGTTCTCAGGAATTTTTATTAGACCATGTCCATTTTTTAATGGAAATTATCACTCATGCTGTCTTGGCGACAATCATCTATCTGTGCACTTGTGCATGAAAGCAATGATGGAGGAGATGCCCTCTGGTACTCACTCATAATCAACACAGGCATTTAGTTTCAATTCCTAGGATTCATTTTATAGCTAACGTCAACTGTTGCATACTAAGAATGTTAGTCATGAGCAGCAGCAACATATGAAACGGGATGAAAATTTTTCCCTAATCGCATGAAGAGAAAAGAAAACGGGGCCATGATTGACTGGATAGGATATTTTGAATGAAAGATATTTAATCACCAACCAATAATGATGAACTTGTCACCAAATATATTCAGCCCGCAGAAATATTGACTCCGTCACCAGATCACAATGAATCTTCAACAAATTAGTCAGTCACCAAATTTTTATTTTTGATTTCACCAAATACAAGATAATTCAAAAAGAAGGTAACACTTTCACATGTTTATAATGAAGTAACCAGTGAGCCTACAATGACGTGATATGTATCAATTAGGAAAACTCTCAAAGTTTGTTTGTAATTGACGCGGGAAAGTGTTTCGCGCTTGCGCCGCCAGGGGAGACCGTGTTGCAAAAATGGCGACTCCGCAATAAAAGGCGTTCTGTGTCCTGCAGTTTGCAAAGACCAATTCTGTAACAACTGTGCAACGGCTGTTCCACACACGTTTCGGAATTTATCCACCAGCTAGGAAGACCATTTACAGTTGGTGTCGGCAGTTTGAAGATAAAGGTTGTATATGCAAAGGGAGAAGCACGGGTCGACCTTTTGTATCGGAAGAGAATGTGAACCGAATTCGAGAATTTTGTTGTGCAGTCGCCATTTTTGCAACACGGTCTCCCATGGCGGCGCAAGCGCGAAACACTTTCCCGCGTCAATTACAAACAAACTTTGAAAGTTTTCCTAACAATTGATACATATCACGCCATTGTAGACCAGGGGCGGATACAGAAATTTTTCATAGGGGGGGCGGTTCCCAAGTTCCTACCTACCCCCCCGCCTACCACCATTCCTCGTCCTTTCGCCTTTTTTATTTTTCATCTGGGGGAAGAACTTGAGTATCTATTTCATTGGCTCCAACAAAATTTAATGCAGATGCTATTTTGAACAAATAAATCAAATGCTAACCTGGCCATAGGGGGGGCGGTCGCCTCCCCCTGTATCCGCCCCTGTTGTAGACTCACTGGTTACTTCATTATAAACATGTGAAAGTGTTGCCTTCTTTTTGAATTACCCTGTATGATTGCACCATCACGGGTGCTGCCATCACCAAATTTACACTAACTCACGCCAAAAATATGCTCTCATCATCAAAACAATTTTTCCGCAATTTCAACCCTATTAAGAAAATGATTTTTTCTTTATTTCTGGTCAGACCTCTGATACCAAGCTGAGATTGTAAGATCATATCATGCTGGGGGGGGGGGGGGGGGGGGGGGGGGTGGGGGGGGGGGGGGGGGGGGAAATTAACCGACTGGACTCTTGAGTTGTCCGAAAAACGTTAAATGTTTAATTGCGGCGATTAATAGGATATGAGCCTTTGGGGGAGGACCTGTGGAACTGGTCTCCTTGTGCTTTTGAACATGTAAGGGAATTCAGTACGACCCTGTCTTCCTGTTTTTGTGTGCTCTACGTATAAGAGGTGCCATGGCAACAAACGACTTTGAGGACAATGAAACAAGGAGGGGCCTTCTTCATTGCCAGCAGTGCCGGCAACGCCACAAGGGAAGAGGTTCTGAAAAGTGCACAAGAATATCTGATCAGAAAAATTGGAGCATTGGAGGGACTTGAAGAGAACAAGACTCTCCCTATGAGTTGTGAGAGCTCCTAATTTTGAATGCATATGCGAAGATTGGATCAAGACTGGCATTAGCAAGCATTCACTCGGAATGTTAATTCATTCCCGGGAAGTCAGTGTTCCATCGGACAGAAATGAAAGAGAGAGAGACCAAAGGAGGCTACCTCTGCCTTCAAACTCGCTAAGAAATTTTTATTTCTTTTGACACATGAAATGTGACAATGATTTGGTAGTAATTTCATTGCATCTGGTGAAAATACTGAGGGAGAATTTTTAGTGCTAGATTCAAGTCATTTGACGTGATGACGTCATTTGGTGAAGGTAATAAGAACTTGGTGATATAAATTCATTGAGTGACTAAAGAATACAATCTGGTGATGAATCATTACTTCGTGACGGATTCAATATTATTTGGTGATGAATTAAATACTATTTTGAATGCTTCAACTTTCCGCAATGTGATCAGGCTTGCATGGATCGCACAAAAGTTACCTTCACTGCCCTTTAGTACTTGCACGAATTCCTCATCGTCTGAGTCCCTCAAGTCGCCCGGGAGAGCGAAGATGTAATGTGATCGGTCTCCGGCTGTCTCTCGTCTAGTATCCTGCTATCAACACCTCCTTCGCTCTTCGCACCCCCAGCTCAGCCTTTTTTTTCTCTCTCTCTCTCGTGGAAGCTACAGGGTGGTCCAGGTCATGTGTAACAAAATGTCAAAGTCCCCTCTTACCGCAAATACTTGACTCCTGTAGTTCAAATGTTACTCGTTGGAATCGTACGTTTCTGCTGTTTAATCCAGTCTTGAATTTGACTGTCATTTGAACACAAGCGGAGAAAATGGCGACTGAAGCCAGGCGGTCGTTAGTCATAGAACTGCATGAACAGGGCCTGAAAAGGCGGGCAAGAAGTTGAATTTGAGCCGAGCTTTCATCAAATGGATATTGGATGGATACCTTGAGACAGGCTCTTCTGGCCAACGATCTGGAGGTAGCAGGAAAATGACGAGAACGAATAAATTGGTCAACCAAATCAGGCTCTGGATTTGGCGCAATCCCAACAGGTCTATCAGGAAGATGGTGAAGGAGATGAATGTCTCGAGGTCGACAATGATGAGGATGGTCAAGAACAATCTAGGGTTAACCTCCTACCGGCTCCAGAAGCGACATTTCCTCAATAGAGCCACCAAGAGTAAGAGACTGTCCTGAAGCCGTCAGATGCTGGAGAGGCTCAAGAATGGTTCGGCCCCCAACATCGTCTTCTCGGACGAGAAGTTATTCTCGGTGCAGGTAGTCCGCAACAGGTAAAATGATCGGGTTTTGGCACGAAGTCGAGAGGAGATATCCGACCATGCTGAAATAGTGTTACGCACCCAGAAGCCGGCCTCAGTTATGGTGTGGGGGGCCGTCACCAACAAGGGCAAGTCCCCCCTCGTCTTCGTTCCCGAGGGCATCAAAATCAACAACAACGTCTACATAAAATCCATCCTGCAGGACGCCCTGTCCCCATGGGCTCAAGATCTGTTTGGGGATGAGCCTTGGACTTTCCAGCAGGACAGAGCAACGTCTCATACGGCTAATGTGACCCATGACCGGTGTCGGAAGAATTTGCCAGGGTTCTTGACCAAGGAAGAGAGGTCCCGTCGTCTGCAGATCTGAACCCTTTTGACTACGCCATATGGTTGATCTTCCAGTCTAAGGCCTGCTCCAAGTCCCACCACAGTCTGGACTAACTGACTAAACGCGTTAGTGTTGACGAACGCCAGAACTTGTCATTCATAGCTGACGCGCTCTGTTCCCAGAAACCTAATTGTAACTTGATACATTTTGCTTCTTTCCTAACTACTCCGCATACTATGCTCAGTCACTGGAAACAGAAGATTCACCGCTGCCGGAATTAAAAGAGGATGCCGAAATCCATCGTCTGGAAAGCCTACATTATACATATCTTTACTTTATATTTTACTTTCTACCCAAGGTAACCCTACCATACATGTGCAAGTTGACCCTGCCGTGCAAGTTAAACTAGCATGGTTAAACTTGCATGATGAATTTCATCGTGCAATTTGAACTTAGTCCTCGTCTTTCTGTGCCCCAGCCGGATTTTATACTCCTTAATCTTGGCAGCCTTGACCTCCGCGACGAGCCTCTCGTTCCTATTTATCGGGAACACCGGGTTGTTGGGAGACTTGGTCTTCTCGTAGAGCTCCAGCAACTGGCATGGAAAGGTCAACTTGCATACAGCATATGAATTTTTTTCCGATTGAATTCTTCCCCCCCCCTATTGGAGCGCTTCGTACCCGCCATCGACATCTTCCACATGGGTGGTTACAAATCTATCACCTGAAGATGCGGATCTTCTGGAAGTTGTGTTGTCTCCGGTCTCCACTATAGGGGTTGGATGTATGAATTCAATCCAAAAACAGTGTAGGCCTTTCCCTGCTCGTATTCCGATGCCTTCGATACTCCTGGCACCTAGTCACAACCATCTTATTTAGTAGTGTTACGCCATGGCGCTAGATGTCAGACGATTCAAGGGTCCACAAGAAATAATCGCATGTAAGCGCGGGGCGGCAGGCAGGTCCTTTCAGACTCAGCCTCTGTTCTCACGTTCGACTCTGGCTCAGTCGAGCCCCGTCGTCGCGTGCGTTATGACGTGAGTGGTCGCTCTTTCGTCTGCCGCGTCCGGCGGCTGGTCTTCGTCATTTTCTGTGCTCCTTTCGGCCAAGAAGAGTCATGCCGTTGCCGTTGGCGTGCGTGGAGCCGGTGTACGTGAGCCGGGCTCCTTTGCCCGAGACGTGCCGCGATAACGAACGGGAGTTTATCTACAACGAGACGCTGTGCGGTTTGCTGCGACAGTTATCGTCTCTCACTGTGATAGCAACCGAGATCTTCGATGCCGTCCAAGAGGAATATCAGAAGATCGAGGATCGGATCTCGAATCTCCGATCGGACATCGGACGGGTGCGAGACAAGGTCCAGGCCTTTAATCCCAAGGAGGTGCCCGTCCGTGAGTTTCACACTTTTTTTTCTATCATTCTTCGGATTGAGATATTTTTCCAACATGAGCTTATGGAGTAGATTCCTCTTTCAGGCAAGACCCTGACATAGCGATCAGTGACAGAGAGTTCGCCGTGAAGAGAAGCCTAGATAAGAAATACGGACAACAATAAGAACTTAATCCTGTCCAGATGGATTATCTCACTATGCAGCTTCTCTTGGAATCTAAAACGTAAAGGAAGTCTCGTTTCGGAAGCCAGGTTATCTTGCATTCCGATCGTGAGGAGAAGAGAGTCTGGGCGATGGCCAGTATGCTTTCTGTCATGCGATGGCCTGGGGCGAACTATTTTTTTCTCTTTTCTTTCCCCCGTCCCCCGTCCCCCATATAATGCCTTGCCCTACCTGCCTCGTATATCGAAGGGGTAGGGTTCGACCCCTTATGTCCTAACATGCATCGGGATGAGATTCCGTCTGGTGTAGCCATGTTGAGGCTGCCGGTACCCCATCTCGTCTCGTCTTCCCTTTGTTCCTTTAGCTCATCGACCTCTGTTCGCATCATCGCCCACGGTGCTCGGTTGTGCAATCCATGTCTGATATACAGGGCAGCAATTAACCGACTGGACTCTTGAGTTGTCCGAAAAACGTTAAATGTTTAATTGCGGCGATTAATAGGATATGACCCTTTGCATCACAATGAGACACATCAGACCAACATTCCACTGCCGTACATCGCAGGAGAGGGGGAGGACCATCGTGATCGGATTCAAAGTTCTGACGTAACTTTTGGACCTCTTGGTGCAAGTCCTGTCTCAACGCGACTTCAATTAGGATCAAGTGGCCACTGCTGCGAATATCGTCCGCTGGCAAAAGGGATGAACTCTCAGCAGAGCTTGAAGCAACTTTTTGAATTGATCGGGAGGGTGGTTGTACGAGAACCAGAGAAACCAGCCACGAAACCCCCATTTCGCATGGCGGACGCTACATATCGCAATGACAGATGCTCGAAAGAAGTGGAGGTCTGATAGGGAGTATGTTAGTTTATTGTATCTTTTAGATGAGAATTCCTTGTTGGTTTCCTTGAAGTCTGCTCGATTACCACCCTTTGTTACCTTTTACTGATGTTAGGATTCTCGTCCATCCTGCGATCCGTCAACTTTATTGTTGGCGTGTATTGTGTATTCGTCAGAATTGCTTCCAAGTCGTTTGAAGTCATCGTCAGAATACTCATATTGAGCAACCACCTTGCCATTTTCCATTTTTTCAATTTCACTGTATGGAATATCATTTAATGGCACCGATAAGCATCATATCTCTCTCCGAATAAAATATTTGATTGAGTATTGCATTGGGGGGAGGAGCAACGCGTGTGATGTATGTGGAGCAGATGGTGGCGTCGCCATTTCATTTCATTTGTCCATGGCGATGAGATGAGATAGAAAGCAGGCGCCTGTGTCTATTTCTATTGAAGCCGCCTTCTTGTTTCCTATCATCTCGAGAAGAGAAGCGGAGATCACGTTCCACATACGCAATATCATTCTTGGCCACATTGAATCCCCGTACGTGCTCTTAAAACCAGGGCGAGGATCCTCTCACCATAAAAGAGAATGAGAA